CAGGAAGGGGGGGAAGAAAAGGCTGGTGCAAATGCCGAGAACAAACTTTGTTAAATAACTTTGGATTTCTGAGAGGCTGTGGGGGAGTCGGGGATTTCCGCTAAAACAAGACATAAATCCCTGTGACCTAGGGTGTTAGTAGGCTGGAGAGGACTAAAAATCCAAACAAATGCTTGTTAATACTGGCAGCAGCTCAGGAAAAAGCAGTCAAGAAGAAGATCAGCAAAAATTTCAGAATAGGGGTAATCAGTCAATCTCTTCCCGAGTGCTCGCTGGCACGCCATGAGCCGCCCCTCGCGAATGGGCTCATTCCTAAGCGTGCGGTGTGAAAGCTGTTTCCTTTAAGGAAGAAAATGAGAAAATGGGAAGCCACCATGCCCAGAGTCCAGGTTGTGTCCTTCTGTGTCGTGGCTCTGCTCCAGGTGTTTCCCTCACCCTTGCTGCCCACCTTGGAAAGGCTCCAGCCCAGGGGTACGCACCATGATAATCACCGTGCAGAGAGCTTGCTGGGCCCCTCTCTGGCCATGCCAGCGGTCAACAGCACCGCAGTCCTAATGGTACAGGCCCTCCGTATAGGGGGCAGAGGATGCTATGCACACTGTCCTGCTCTTCTGGTTGGAAACCATAAGCTGAATGTACTATGTCAAAAATAATTGGAGCTAAAGACTCCCCCACCGCAGACTGTAGTGCCACATAATAATAATGAGCATGATGATGATGGTAACAGTAAATTAACAGTAAATTAGTAATAATAATGAGTTGGGATCTATGTCAAGTCTAGACCTTAAATCATTAAATTTCCTGAGACTTGAATTTGAGCTCTGTGCCTGGGAAATGATTCAGCATTTCCCAAAGTGTTAACTGCTAAAATAATTTGGAGCCTGCTGGAGTTTTAATAAGCTTTGATTTGTGAGCAGAACACACGTGTACAGGAGCAGCCTGTGGCCATCTGAGCCAGAGCCGAGCTCCTGGCATGTCCTGTCTGCCACAGCGGGCAGATGCAGATGCAGATGCTGGGGGGGGCACAAGGAGCAGCACCGGCACAGGCATCTCCTGCCCATGGCTTCCGGCTGTTACCACTGCCACCTTTTAGCTGCCACTTTCTTGTAGAAAGTGAAGTGTTGTTTTGGGTTTTTTTTAATGAGAAAGTTTCTTACAGGAAGTTTCTTACAGGCATTTCTTACAGTAAGTGCTTGGCCATCTAATGATAAAAAGAAGAGATGGAGGGGGAGTTTTTGGTACCACTTGCCATAAGCAACTGAGGCTGCATTTCAAGGCAGAACTGGGAGCTGGGATTTACTGGCGTTTCCTGGTGCATATACAAACATATGCAAACCAGCAGCGACCGACTGATAAACACTGGGCGAGCATTCAAGTTGGCGAAATGTGAGTGAGCGTGGTAGCTGTTGCATTGACAGCTTTACTCAGATGGTTAACTCCGGTGTTTATTAGTGCGAGATGAAAAAGCACACCCAGACATGCCATTATTGCCAACATCTCTCACGCTGCTGATGTGCAGCCCCTGGGTGAAAGCACTGGAGCTGATTTCATCTTTCTTCTAATTCGGCTGTGGGACTTTTTTAGGCAGGTCAGGGCATAGGGACACGCTGCAGACGATGGCTCGGTGTGCTCTGCAGAGGGACCACAGGGACTCACCTGGGCTGCAGCCCCAGGCAGCATGTGCCCAGCTACCTGCTTCCCTCCTGGGCATCACCAGCCCCTGCGCCCGGCCTTTTCAGTGCGTTACCAGGACAAAGTTCTGCCAGCAGTTAAAAACTAGGCTTTTAACCAGCTTAATCATTCCCTTATGGACGCTTTTATGTGTAGTGTCATTTCAATGGTTTTGAAAGACAAATGACATTCATCTTAGTATTGAAGAAGAAGCAAAACCATTTTGAAATCCACCTTTCTGATCATCATTCATCAAAACAAAAGACTCTGAAAGTCACCTTTGACTATAGGAAAGGGAGAGGTACTTTCTTTGTTTAGAAACAAACGAAAAGAAAGAACAATAAACGCTTTGTTTGGAATAATAGGAGAGAGAGAAAGGACTCGGCTGAGTCTGTGCTAGAACAAACAGGAAGGAAGGGATTTGGCAGAATGAATCTCAACATAGCATCGTATTAGGAAATGCAGGCTAGGAAAACAGCCCTACAAAAATTAGGAAAGTCCCAAACACTTATAGAGAATCCTTGTTACCATGGTATTTTTTTGTAATGGAAATGTAAGAAAAAGGAGCTCTTTTCCCTGGTTTTAGTATTCTAATGGGGCATCCTGACTTGAGTAGCCAGAGTGAACTGCAGGGATTTTTCCTCCCTCCCTCCCCAGTAAGTGTGCTAGGGCAAGAGGTAGGAGCGTAGCACCAGCTGTGACCCGCTGCCACTGGGCAGCTCTGGTGCTCGGGCCCCCCTTTGCTCGCCCACGCAACCGGCCCTAAGCCCTGGGGCGCAAGGGCTCCCACCCAACACCTCTCCGCAGCCACTGCCATCCCGCTCAGCCGTAGCGGCACCTTAGATTTAGCTTCACACTTTGCCCCCGGGTCACGGACCACCAGTTTAGCTGAGAGCCAGCCAGATCATGCACACCCACACCCCTTTCTCTCCTTCCCGAATGACTTTGCATCTTCATTGTGTTTTAAAAGCAATAGCATTACTAATCCTGAGCGTGACCTGGCAGCCAAAGCACAGAGAAGGAAAGCTTTCAGCCATGCCAGACTCTTAACTGCTCTCTATACCACCCATCTGCTACCACTAACTCGATGCTTCAAAGCTCTCCGAGCTGTCGAGAGCCAGCAGAAGGAATCACAGTTAAAACAAAAAGCCACAGTCTTCCAACCAGTTTGCCCAGAACTAAGTATCACAGTTTGTATCAGCATGATATATATCAACAGTATAAACTTAACAAGGGTATTTGAAGATCACCACATTGTGGCCTTATAACTGAAGCCAAATTCTTCCTTTCTTCAAAGCCTAATTCCTCTGCCCTTATGCAGTAGAAGTAAGCCAAAACTTGCCTGAGAGTTCTTCATACAGAAATGTGCTGGTTTCCCAGAAAGTCACTTAAAAAAAGTGTTGTTGGAACAAAGACTGGAAACGATGAGTCACTTTATTTATTTACAGTAATTATATAATTATAATCATCATATAAATTAATATAATTATGCAAATCTATAGCAATATATTAAGTTATGCATGTACATAAATAATTCTAAATATAAATTCTAAAAAGATGTTGTTACAAAAACAAATTTCTATCGTTAATTATTTGTAGCTCAGGAGTGTTGGTGATAGAGCAAGACTGGCAGGGTAATGTCTGTTTAAACAACGACAAGACCCCCCCA